GGGGGTCCCCCTCCCCAGGCCGGATGCCTGGGCCAGAGGCATCAGGCCTGGGCTGGGGGCAGAACCAGTGATGGGGGGAAATGAGGGTCCCCTGCCCAGACCTGACACCTCTGTCAGAGGCGTCAGACCTGGGCAAGGGGCCGATCCTGCGATTGGAGGGTGATGGGGGTCAACGCTTGAGGGATCCCAGTATGTGAGAGGGGGCAGGCTGGGCTGAGGGACACTCCCCCCCCACACACACCAAGTGCACGAATTTCGTGCACCGGGCCCCTAGTGTATGTATATAAAAGGCTAACATGCTAAGTATCCAACCATCTGACTGGTCGCTATGATGTGCACTGACCACCAGGGGACAGATGCTCAATGCAGGAGCTGCTGAGCAGCAGTGACTCTGCAGCGGCGGTTCTCGGGTGACGCACCCTGAAACCAGAGAGGAGGGAGCCCGATTCTTCACAAGGCCATGTGATTTCACCTTTGGCTGTGGGTTATGTTGTTGCTGGGGCACTGTTGGCCCCAAATCTGGTTTACTGCACACTTGAGTTTGCGTTACACACCCTGTACGACAGCAACTTTGCAGAATGCCCTCTTGCACACCAGGACCCCTCGGGGGATGTTGGAGAGCCAGTTTCGCCTGATCCTCACAGGCCAGGCCGAGGGACCCCACCTGCTGGAGGGCCCCTGTTCACTACGCAGACACCAGGGAGGGTCTGCGGGAGGTTGGCTCTGGGGTTTGTCTGGCCCATCTCGCCCAGTTCTGCCCCTCTGGGCACCTTCTAATTAATTTTCTTACAATGTGCACGAATCTGTGCACCAGGTCACTAGTTAAAATATATTTAAAAATACATATATAAGGTTTCAATAGTGATTGGAACATAGGAGGATGCTCAGTAAAAATGAGCTATCTCTTCCCCTCCTGTTCTTTGTGGTTGAGAAAGATTAAACAAGCCTCTTTCTTTTGGTTTTAGGGCTTTACCCTGGGGAGGTAAAGCTGGAAGAAAGGTTACATATGCAATAGATTTTAAAAATTAAGCTACAAATGAGGCAGAGGAACAGTCTCCCCAGCAGATGCAGAGATGCAGATCTTTGTGAAGACCTTGACTGGCAAGTCCATCACCCTTGAGATTGAGCCCAGTGACACCATTGAGAATGTCAAAGCTAAAATCCAAGACAAGGAGGGCATCCCACCTGACCAGCAGCATCTGATTTTTACGGGCAAACAGCTAGAGGATAGCCATACTCTCTCAGACTAAAATATTCAGAAAGAGTCCACCCTGCACTTGGTTCATCTGAAGGGTGGCATCACCGAACACTCCCTCCGCCAGCTCATGCAAAAGTACAACTGCGAGAAGATGATCTGCCACAAGTGTTATGCCCGCCTGCACCCCCGTGTTGTCAACTGCCGCAAGAAGAAGTGCGGTCACACCAACAACCTGCGTCCCAAGAAGAAAGGTGAATAAGGCCCCTCCACCAACTCCTTGGGTCCACAGGGCAGCCTTCTACCTGAACCCTATGATGCTGGGGCCTCAATAAAGTTTCTCTTTTATTGACTGGAGCAATAAAAAAAAAAAAGCTACATAAATATAATTACAGACTGAAATGAACAGCAGGAAATTTAATTTGTGAGACTCCTGCATTTAGATCAAAAGTAATAAGGTACAAATAGAGAAAAAAGCAAATTGTTTAGAGCAGGGGTGGGCCGTATAAGGCCTGCGAAATAACTTGGTGTGGCTCTGTCAAGGCATTAAGGTGAGATATTTGACCAAATAGAGCAGGCTAATTTTTAAGTTGCTAATTTTAAGAGGCAACCTTTCGGTGTATGGGATGATGCCCAACCAACTGAGCCACAGTGGCCAGGGCTGTTGGAACCTTATTTTAATTTGAACAAAGAGGGCTAATTTTCAAGTTGCTAAACATCAATTGGCTGGACCGTGAATGTTGTTATAAATACCCAAATGCTCTTCGAAGGAAAAAGGTTCCCCACCCCTCGTTTAGAGGATGCTATTATATAATGTATAAATGTCAATATGATTAAAAAACCTATATAGTGAGAAAATAAGTATTTTTCACATATTTAGTTAAAAAAAGAAAGACAAATACTGTATAATACTGCTATGTAAAACTTAAAATCATTTATATCACTCTGGCTGGTTTGGCTCAGTGGATAGAGAGTTGGCCTGCGGACTGGAGGGTCCCGGGGTTGATTCCAGTCGGGGGCATGTGCTCAGGTTGTGGGCTCAATCCTCAGTAGGGGGCATGCAGGAGGCAGCCGATCAATGGTTCTCTCTCATCATTGATGTTTCTATCTCTATCTCCCTTTCCCTTCCTCTCTGAGATCAATAAAAATATATTTAAAAAAAGATAAAATCATTTATATCATATAGGTATTTAAAATGTATAAATTGGATAGAAAGATTACAATAATTCATGAGAGTAGCTGCAACAGAAGGGAGGAATGGGACCAGGTTGGAGGATATAAAGGAAATCTAAAATTTACCTCTAATATTTTATCTACTTAAAAAAAAAAGATAAAACTTGGGATGATGAATACATGGGTGTCTGCCATATAATTCTATGTATATTTTAATATTTCAAACTAAATCTTAGAATAAAGAAATATAACCTAACCATTTTTTCATGTAAGTAAGAGCCAGGGCTCTAATGAACTATTAACAGTATTTTTTCCATTTCTCTTCCATTATATTCAACTGCAATAACTAAAATTGCAATAACCAACTGCAACTAAAATAACCAATGTGTTAGTAGATTCCATTAATAGTGTGCCTTTACTTCAAGAATAGTCCCAATCTTCTCCCTACTACCAGGTCATTTGGGATATTATGTTCGGTGCTGCTGGCCACAAAATGTTAGAAGTTTAGAATGGGAAAGGTCTTGAAATCCTATGCTAAAAGAGATACATGGCTGAAGTATAGGACTTCTTTAACTGAAAGAAAAATTCTAAGGGTTGACCCTATGGACTAATTGTCAAAATAATGGGACAAGGGAAAGACATGGGAATAACAGAGAAGCACATGGAGAATAAAGGTATCAACAAGATGACACAAAGGCATGAAGGCAGAAAGCTGGGAGCCTTTCTAATATTGCTAAGGACCAGCCAGCCCTCCAATGCTAAGGCAAGGCTAGAAGAAGCCTGGCTTAAATGGGGCTAAAAAGAAACTGTAATTGTATTGGTAGTAGTTGGGTACCTGTGAGGGGAAAAGGGAGAAGGGAGAGCAGGGCAGCTGGAGTCTCCACATTCATCAGGGGCTGCTTTAAATAATTCTTATGAAAACCCCAAGGCCAGCTGATCCCACCAGGGCACGTATCTCTATTATTCTCATACCTGTCCAAAGTGGTCAATTCCAACTCTTCCTCAGCCTCGAGTACACTGACCCCATCCCAGATCCATAGACTTAAGAAACTACCACTTCAAAAATGGCAGGAAATGCCAAATTTTACACTTTAAATGAGTGACTTTTGTGATATTTGAAATACATCCCAATAAAGTTGTCTTTAAAAAAAGACTGCAGGGGAAGAGTCATTGATTTCTTCCACTTTACTCATTCACTCACTCAAGACTTACTCCCCTTACTTGTTTCTTTAAACCATTTGGCTGTATCACTTTTGTCATTGCTGTCTATTCATGCAGAGACCTTTACAACTCATGTTCACCTAATTCAGGTTACTTGGACCTAATACAGTTTGTGCACAGGAGAGACAACTCAGAGATCAGATGAATAAGCTACTCTTTTTTGTTTCCAATTAGGAAAGAAAGCTTTGAAGCCTCAGATCCGATTTGCTGTGAACTCTGACACTTTTCTTGATATGCAAACTTTGTACAAGTTACTTAACCTCTTTGAGCCTCAGTTTCCTGAAAATGGAAATACCACCACCTGCTCACTATGAAGATGAAATTAAAAAACGTAAAATGTTGGCATAAACATTATAGTCATTACTATTATTTATTACCATGTTAATAATTATAACAATAAAATAATTCAGACCTGTCTTAGAAGGTTCATGCCTTAAAATAATCATCTCTGAACAGATAGGGCTCCTTACCAAAGCTTCTGACCACAGATTGGCAGAAAAGGAACAGGTAGAAGTTTGAGCCAGACAGCACAAGGAAGCAGAGTCAAGAATCAGCAAGAGCAGCGGTTCTCAACCTGTGGGTCGCGACCCCTTTGGGGGTCGAACGACCCTTTCACAGGGGTCGCCTAAGACCGTTGGAAAACACATATATAATTACATATTGTTTTTGTGATTAATCACTATGCTTTAATTATGTTCAATTTGTAACAATGAAATTGGGGGTCACCACAACATGAGGAACTGTATTAAAGGGTCGTGGCATTAGGAAGGTTGAGAACCACTGAGCAAGAGCATACTATAGATCAAATCTTGGCCTCATAGGGATAAGGGAAATAGGCAACTGTAGGGTCCTTTCCCCACCCTGCTATCCATACACCCAGTCCTCCTTACTTGAGCACCTCTTCTCGACACTGCTTTTGGGGTGCGAAGCAGGCGATGGCCCAGACTTTGATCTCAATACCATTGTAGAACTGTTTCCCTCGCATGTCCCAGACACCTTGATTGGGTGTGGCAATGGCCCGGTTCTGGAGATAGGCAAAGGGGGCGCCCAGGTGAGCCTCAGTAAAGCCAGGTGGGTAGGGGAACAAAAGCCCCTGGCTATACAATCCAACCACCTCCCAAAGTGCCCCAGAGATGTTGTCTGGCCCTGACCCTGCTCACCCGGCCGCCATATTGCAAGATGGGCGCCGGCAGCACTCGTCCTGTCACCTCCGTCATGTCATCCTTCACTTTGATCCCAAATTCCTGGATGTAGGGATCTAGGTTGTAGCTGGCATTCTTCATCTACAAGACAAAAGAAGGGGATCTCAGGAGAGTAGCAGCTTGGCAATAATGCTCACCCTCTGGGTCCCAAGGAGAATGCCCTGGGCAGCTGAGACTGGCGAGAAATAGCCCTAAAAAAGGAGGGAAAGTGGAAGATGATGAAAGTGGGAGGGGATAACATAGGGAAGTAAAATAAAATGGAAAGAGAAATAGGAAGCAAAGTAGCTACAGGGTCAAGAAGCAAGAGCAGTCCTATGGAGTCCCAGACAACAAATCTAGATGTGTGTCCTCCCAAAGAAGAAAAGCATCTATGCTACCAGGGGCCCCAGGGACTGAGCAATCAAGCACATGTTTCTCTGCAGCCCCACTGACCAGGCGGCTGATCTCCTCCTGTCTGTCTGGGGCCGACCTAGCTGTAGCCTTTATCATGGTCGAAGTCTGATTGTCAGTCAGCTTCTTAATGCAGCGCTGCCCAGCCACAATGTTACAGACCTGAGGAAACAAGGAAGACAGTTAGTTCTGGCTTGAGTTCAGTCCATCCTATACTGAGTCCCACAGTAAGAGAAGAGACCTTGGCTGTCAGCCTTGGGAAGAGGACTGCAAAATTCTTTGGGCATACAGGTAAGTTGGAAAATATCCATGTGCAATACCAAAGACAAAATAGCCATTTTGTGATTAAGAGCTAAGGATCCAACCTGGTATGGGTCAGTGAATGAGTGTTGGCCTATGAAGCTGGACATTATGGTTCAATTCCCAGTCAGGGCATATGCCCAGATTGCGGACTCCATCCCCAGTAGCAGGTGGTGTGCAGGAGGCAGCCAATCAATGATTCTCTCTCATCATTGATGTTTCTCTTTCTCTCTCCTTTCCTCTCTGAATATTAAAAAAGAAAAAAAGAGAGCTAAGGATCCAGCACCAGATCTGGGCTCCGTCTCATATGTTAAATGGGGCTCCGTCTGGGCTCCAGATCTGGGCTCCGTCTCATATGTTAAATGGGGAGAACAGTAACAATCTCATAGGGTTGTTTGGAGATTAAATAAAATAAAGCACTTAAAGGAATGAGTACCATTCTAGAACACTATAAACTCAATAAATTGCAGGATAACTTATTATTTACCAAACCTCCCAGTATAGAGCTCTTCTGAACACTAAAAAACTCAATATGCACAAACTGGATTCATAAGGTAGTAAAGCAGCTCTCCAATGGTGGCAAGCGGGCCGGGAGGAGTGCGAGCAGTGCTGTGCAGCCGGCCCGGCTCAAGCTCGGGCTCCTCCCTGGCCACCTGCCGATTGGCGTACTGCTACATCCCTTGGGGGATGTCCGACTGCCGGTTTAGGCCCGATCCCTGCAGGTCAGGCAGGGGTTCTGGATTGCGAGAGGGTGCAGGCCAAGCTGAGGGACTCCCCTACCCCCTGCATGCCCCCCACACACACGAATCCATGCACGGGCCTCTAGTATTATATAATTTGATTTATATGAAATATCAAAAATAGACAAAGTCACAGAGACAGAATAGATTAGTGATTACTAGGGGTGGAAGGGAAAGTGTGGGGGCAAAGGAATAGTGACTATAATAGTTATGGACTTTCTTCTGGGGATGGTAAAAATGTTTTAGTGTCAGGTAGTGGTGATGATTGCATAATGGTGAAAATACTAAAAATCACTGACTTGTACATTTTAAGAGAGTGAATTTTATGGTATGTGAATTATATCTTGAAAAAGCTATTCTTTAAAAAAAAAATCCCACCAGGCTATATAGCCTAGATGACTTGACCCTCAACCTCTCCCTAAAATCATCTCCTACTACTTTTTCCCTCATATATTACATGCCAGCCACTATGGCCTCTGTCTATCTCTTAAAAAGACCCAAGCTTCCTGCTGCTTTAGATTGAGCCTTTGTACTTGCTACTTACCTCATGCCTGGAAGGCTCTTTCCTCAGGCTGTTTACAAGGTTGATTCTATCTCATAACTTGGGACTCAGCTCAAATGTCTCCTAAAAGAGGCCTTCCCTGACCACAATAACTAAAGTGGCTCTCCTAACTCCTCCACCCTTACTTCTATCCCCTCAATCTGTTTGATTATTCTTATAGCACTTACCACCATCTGAAACTATCTTATTTATCAATTATTATCTATCTCTCCCTTCTAGAATGTAAGCTCCATGACAGCAGCGACCTTGTCTTATTAATCTCTACATTCTGGCACCTAAAAGAGTATATGACACATAATAGGAGCCCAATAAATATTTGTTAAATAAACAATAGTAAATGTCGAAATATAAGTCATTGTATAAATTATTCACCTTGGAAAGTATTGTTTAAACAGAAGTAATATTGCCCAGCTGGGTGGCTCTGTAGGTTGGAGCATTGTCTCATATACCAAAAAGGTTGTGGGTTTGATTCCAGGTCAGGGCACATACTTAGGCTGCAGGTTTGATCCCTGGTTTGGGGTGTATGGGAGACAACTGAGAAATGTTTTCTCTCTTTACTCTCTCTTTCTCATCAATAAACATATCCTCAGTTGAGGATTTAAAAACAAAACAGAAGTAATGTCAATTTGCTAACAAATCTCAACTGGTAGTAGGTATTATCTAAAGCCTATCTACTTAGCTGAGATCATCCCTAAAGACTTCTGTTTATATCTCAGAGAAAATATTGCCTTCATCCCACTTTCTGTGCATCAGCACCTACTAACTGAGTCAAAGTTCTTAGGTTTTGGGATCTCTTCTCTCTTCAGCCCAGTTCCCTCTAGTTAGCTCTGAAATCCCAGAGGCTCACAGAAGGTTTGAGCTTTGGTCCTATTTGACTCCTGCTGCTGGAACAAAGTAAGACAATAGCCTGAGTTAGTGCTTCTCCAATTTTAATGTTCATATAAATCCTCTTTGGATTCTGTTAAAAGACAGATTCTGATTCACGAGGTCTGATGCAACCTGAGAATCTGTATTTCAAATGAGATCCTGGATAGTACCCATGTTGTTGGTCCATTGGCCACACTTTAAGTAGCAATGGACTAGACAATGAAGCAGTCAGCAGTAGTTTCTCCGTAGACATTTTGTCTGTTATCTATCTAACCAAATGCAGCCCTATAGTTCCATATTTGTATTCTATAACTTAAGAAATATTACTACTCTCTTTAATTGCAGGATTTTAAACATCTGTTGAAACATAAAAATATAACAAATCTTGGGTCTAAAACTTTTTTAAAAAGAACACATTAATCATTAGGAAAATAGGATTCATGTTATACTAGTAGGTAATAACATTCATCTTCATTTTTTATAAAATAAGGTACACTTGTATCTCTAGGTTTTTTCACATCCTGAACTTCAGAAGACAGTGAAAGAGAAATTAAGAGGGCATTAATGTTGGTATTTGAAATCTCTGTCCTGAACAAACTAATTAATCACTTATTAGACAGTAAATACAGCTTTCACCTTTGCCTGGCAGCCCTAAAAACATGAGAGCAGTATTGGAAATAAGAAAAAAATTTAGCAGGTAAGAATGACATTTCACAGAATGACCTCATATCTCTCAGAATGTCAATTTCCCAAACTTCAAAATGAAGATGAGAGATTACAAATAGAAAGCAGACCTCTGATGATCAGTGTGCAGATACAATGCTTGTTTCCCAGTCCAACCATTACTTGGCAGCCTCACCTCTAGGGGCAGGTAGGTATGCTTTTGTTCCTGGCCAACTTGCAAGCAGGGCAGGTGGGGATACTTGAGCTGAAGGTTATATTTCTGCTTGAAATACTGTGCCACTGTGCACTCCACAGTTTGTCCACTCTCCAGCTGCAAGGGAAACCTGTTTGGAGGAAAGAAAGGAGGTGTCAGAGCTCAGGACTGATTCCCACCTCTCCAGACCTACAACTATGGAAGCCCCAGACTTGGCTTTATCCCTATCCAGCCTCTTTAGAGTACTGCCACTCTTGGGAAAGCAGGCAATACAGGGCTCCAAAAGAGAAGCCAAAGATTTGAGCAGGAAGTTCCACAACCAACAGGACCTGACCTTACTCATCTTATTTACAGTGTTGGGCATAAAGCCTGACACACAGTAGGTGCTCATAGTCCAGTATAGTCTGAGGTCAAGAAGGTAGATGAAATCAGTGAGGGCTTTCCCAAGGTCTAGCCCAGGAGCTTTCTTTTTCAGGAGGAAATATAAGTTGAAAGAGATGCTAACATTTACAAACTGATGGAAGAGTCAGGGGAAGATGCCTGACCTATGGCAAAGGCCCATGGAAGAAAGATGGAGACCAAGAAGGCAAAAATGGTAGAGAGAGTATCAATGGACCTAGGAAGGTTGGGACAGGGGTGACAAATACCCACAGCTTATTCAAAAACAGGGCCAGTCCAAGATTTATTCACAAGGTCAGTGGTGGAACGGGAGGGAGTGAAGGGAGTGTGTTGAAATATCTGTCCTCTTCCACTAATGGTATAGCTTAGCAGCCCTGTCAACTTACGTCTGATGGCTGGCAGGGCGGCGTGTAACATTACACACACGGTATTTCCTCTTCATCTGTCCACAGTGGGTCACTTCTACCTTCAGGCCTAGAATATACACACTGCTTGTCAGGGTTGAAACGAGTTGCTCATGTTCCCAGGCTTGGCCTCTCCCCTGAACATATCCCCAGGGGATTTTCTTTTAGGGCTAAAGAGAAAGTAAGGCTGTTTCTCTTCCCTGCCTGCTTGGGTCCTCACCCTTGATCTCCTTGGTAAAGCGCACACGCTGAGAGTCCGTGAGCGGCTTGGGCTGCTCATCTATGTTCCTGATGTCCAGCACCTCACACATGAACTCAATCACCGGCTGTGCCTTGTAGAAGGCAGTGGCTGAGACTGTGGGGGCAGAGTAGGTATAGCTTAGCTCAGGTTCTGTCTTCCAGAAAAAATGGAAGTACTGCTCTTTACACCCTCTTCCTTATAGGGTTATGGGATGGGGGAGGGGTACCAGGGCCGTAGGGATTAGACTAGGAGTATGGTTGCAGAGCTGAGAGGGATGAGGCTGGGAGTGCGGTCAATGGACTCAGGGTGCCCCTGGCTCCATAGCTCTCCCCACTCACCATCAATGTTGAGCATCATCTTCCACATGGCAGGGCGCACAGACTGGTGAAAGCCGAACCAGACCTCGCGCCCACCCCCCAGCGGGTGGTAGTAGCCCTCAGGCGGTGAGAAGAAGGAGCGGCCCACAGGGGTGTACCTGGCAGGGACAGGCAGAGAACTGGTCCCTCGGGCACAGGCCCCCACCCTGTGAGGCATCCTGGGCACGGAGGAGCCCTGGCCTGGAAGGCAGGACACCAGGGCTTTAATTCCAGCTCTGATCCTTTACTAGTTGTGTAACTGACCTTGTGAAGTCTCTACCCTTTCTCTGCCCTGCAGGGACAGATGGGGTGCAGCTCAAAGATATCTAAAAGGGACAGGACCAATGGTTTAACCCATCTAAATGTATATATACACTTCTTGGCATGTGATACGGTTTCAAAGAATATTTTGTTTGAAAAGCACACTGTAGGACCTTAATATGTGCTCATTCCCCTCCGCCCCTGCCCCACCATGCCCACAGCAGTTCTGACACCACTAGTAGCCCAGATACTAACTATACCCAGTACCTCATGGATGCCAGATGTCTCATGGCCACATCAAGGGCTTGCACAGACTCCAGGGGAACAGGGATCTGGCCACTGACCAGGGCCTCATGCAGCATGCGCCAGCTCACTATGGCTAGCCACTTGATGGAGACCTTGAATATTCGATCCTTCCCTTCCCCGGGGATTGTCACCTCAAAGTCAACCTTCAATAGAGAGAAAGAGGGGAAGGACTGTCAATACTTTCTCACAGTCCAACATTCCCTTGCCCTGCCCCACCCCAACTGTCTCCCACCCCATGGATTTGCTAAGAATCTGTCCCTTAAGCTGATAGGAGCTCACAATGAAAACTTCACAGTAAATGCAGCTTAGTCTCCAGCCACCTTGGCTCAGTCTCCTTGGTTCAGTGCTTCTGTCTCTCTCAACCACACCTAGCAGAAAGTCCTTAAGTGTAGGTCAGCCGTGGGCAAACTACGGCCTGCGGGCCGGATCCGGCCCGTTTGAAATGAATAAAACTAAAAAAAAAAAGACCGTACCCTTTTATGTAATGATGTTTACTTTGAATTTATATTAGTTCACACAAACACTCCATCCATGTTTTTGTTCCGGCCCTCCGGTCCAGTTTAAGAACCCATTGTGGCCCTCAAGTCAAAAAGTTTGCCCACCCCTGGTCTACGTCTATTTTAAGTCTATTCTCAATCTACCTAGAACAGGGATAGACATATAGTAGGTGAAACAAACATTAGCACCTATCCATCCCTCACCCTAGAACACACTTTCTCAGCACAAAAGAATAAAAGGGATCTCTGGACTGCCAGACTGGAAACAGTCTTACATGAGCTCTGTCCCATCCCAGACCCCTTAACACAGGTCTAGACTCCCATCTTACCCGTTCATTGCCAATGGGCAGTGCTGTGACAGTGTAAATGTTCTTCTTTCCATCATACACGGGCTTGCGATCACCAAAGATCTGAGGCTTGAAATGCTGGACCATGTATTCCACCACTTCCCTGTGGGGATAGGAACAGCCTGTGGAAGCTGAGAGACTACCACTTCAAGCTTTTAGAAGTAATTAAAAGGTCAGGGAATGTTCCATCTACTACATTCTTCCTAGCAGCTTCCATTCTCATAAAAGACATGTTTTTATTGGTTTTGAGAGTGAGAGTGAGAGAAAGAGAGAGAGAGAGAGAGAGAGAGAGAGAGAGAGAGAGAGAGAAAGAGAGAGAGAGAAACATCTATATGAGAGAAACATCAATCGACCACCTCTCGTATGCTCCCTGACCAGGGATCACACCCCAACATTTTGGTGTATGGGACGACGCTCCAACCAACTGAGCCACCCAGCCAAGGCCTAGCAGCTTTAATCTCATCTGCTCTGTCACTGTGCTTCTCAAACTTCAATGTTCATATGAATCATCTGGAGATCTTATTAAAATGCAGATTCTGGCCAAAACCGGTTTGGCTCAGTGGATAGAGCGTCAGCCTGTGGACTGAAGGGTCCCGGGTTCAATTCCGGTCAAGGGCATGTACCTTGGTTGGGGGCTCATCCCCAGTGGGAGATGTGCAGGAGGCATGTGATCAATGTTTCTCTCTCATTGATGTTTCTGACTCTCTATCCCTCTCCCTTCCTCTCTGTAAAAAATCAATAAAATATAGTTTTAAAAAATAAAAATAAAATAAATAAAATAAAATGCAGATTCTGATTAAAATGAAGATTCTAATTCAGTGGGTCTAGACCAAAGCCTAAAATTCTACATTTCTAACATGCTCCCATGTGATGCTTCTGATCTTCACATCACTAAAGGTCCTAAAGGACCTAAAAGAGTGAGTGCCTTCTGAACAGAGAGGGAGTCTAAGGGGAGAAAGGCTTTTATCTTAGGGTCTATCCAGAATCCGGAATAGAATTGAGGCTCCTCCAATTCCCAAACTGATAATCCCAAACCATCCAACCATTTGACATCTTTACTTTCTAAACCAAAGCTTTTGAATAATACTGGATAAAAACATTCAAAATGTATATTGGAAGCAACTGTAACCAGTTAGGTTTCAGTGCTACCCAACAATCTTTTTCGTGTCCTGATCACTTCCATTCCTCACAGACTATGTCAAAACTTCTCACACCAGAACCTATTTCTATCTCCTATCAAAAAGCAACCCTAGAAGATGACGGCATAGGTAAACGAGGTACTCACATCCTCCCACAACATCAAGATTACAACTAAAATACAGAAAACAACCATCATTGAGAACCACCTGAAATCTGGCAGAATGGAAGCCCTACAACTAGAAAATTAAAGAAGAAACCACATTGAGACTGAAAATGATAAAAGCAAGGACCTACAACTAAGATTACTCTACCCAGCAAAGCTATCAAGAATTGAAGGTCATGCCCTAGCTGGTTTGGCTCAGTGGATAGAGCATCAGCCTGTAGACTGAAGGGTCCTGGGTTCAATTCCAGTCAAGGGCACATACCCAGGTTGCAGGCTCAATCCCCAGTAGGGGGTGTGCAGGAGGCAGCCGATCAGTGATTCTCTCTCATCACTAATGTTTCTCTCTCTCTCTCTCTCCCTCTCACTTCCTCTCTGAAATTAATAGAAATATACTTTTAAAAAATGATAAGAATTGAAGGTCAGATAAAGAGTTTCACAGACAAGAAAAAGCTAAAGGAGTTCATCACTACCAAACAAGTATTACATGAAATATTGAAGGGTCTTCTTTAAGAAGAAGAAAAGATAAAAAAACATGAATAATAAAATGGCAATAAATACATATTTATCAAAAATTGAATCTAAAAAATCAAAATAAACAAACAGGAATCTAATGAACAAAATAAACTGATGAATAAAATAGAACCAAAGGCATGGAAACATGGAACAGATGACAAATCTCCAGAGGGAAGAGGGGAGAGGAGGGGTGAGAAGAGATTACCAAAGAATTTATATGTATATATGCATTAACCATGGACACAGACAATACGGTGGTGAAGGCCTAGGAGCAGCGGGATCCGGATGGAGGAGGGCAATGGGGGGAGTAAGGGAGAGACATCTCTAATACTCCCAACAATAAAGGCTAAAAAAAAAAAAAGGCAACTTTAAAAGTCTGAACAGAGTTATAGTAAACCATAGTATGCAAAGTCCCCCCCACCAAGTTCCCAGGCATACAATCATATTTATATATGCAAGCCTCTTCATTTTCTTTCCTCAGATTTGAAACATCCTTCCATATATGATTTTTAAACATCTGAAAAATATGTTCAACTTTACTCATTAGACCAAAATACAGAAAAACAGACACACAGATCAATGAAACAGAATTGAGAGCCCAGAAATAAACCCACACATATAATGAACAACTAATTTACAACAAAGGAGCCAAGAATATACAATGGAGAAAGTCTCTTCAATAAATGGTGTTCAGAAAACTGGATATTATTATGCAAAAGAATGAAACTGGATAATTATCTTACACTGTACACAAAAATTAACTAAAAACGGATCAAAGACGAATTTACAACCTGAAACAATAGAATACATAAAGAAAATACAGGCACTAAGATTCTGGACATTGGTCTTGGTGGTCTTTTTGTGAATTTCACTTCAAAGGCAAGAGAAACAAAACCAAAAATAAACAAATTGAACTATATCAAACTAAAAAGCTTTGGCACAGCAAAGGAAACCATCAACAAAACAAAAAAGAAACCAACTAAATGGGAGTAGATATTTACAAATGATGTTTCCAATAAGGAGCTAACATCCAAAATATATAAAGAATTTATACAACTCAACAACAAAAAAACAAACAACTGAATTTAAAAATGGACAGAGGATCTGAATAGACATGTTTCAAAGGAAAACATACAAATGGCCAATAAGCACATGAAAAAAATGTTCAACATCAATAATTATTAGGGGAATGGAAATCAAAATCATGGGACATCAATCACCCCATACCTGTTAAAATAGCTATTATCAAAAAGGAAATACTAGCAAGTGTTGGCAAGATGTACAAAGGGTTGTGTAAATTGATACAGCCACTAAATTATGGAGGTTTCTCAAAAAATTAAGAACTACCATCTGATCCAGCAATTCCTCTTCTGGGTATTTATCCAAAAATATGAAAACTAATTTAAAAAATCTATGTACCTTATGTGTACTGCAGCATTATTTACAGCAGCCAAGATTTTAAAAAACCAATTAGTGTCTATCAATGAATGACTTTATAAAGGAGGTGTGATGTATATAGATATAGACATAATATAGCATACTACTTAACCATAAAAAGATGAAATATTGCCATTTGCAAGAATATGGAGGGATCCTGAGAGTATTATGCTAAGTGAAATAAGACAGAAGAAAAAAGATAAAACCGTATGATTTCACTCATACATAGAATATAAACCAAAAAGTAACAAATGAACAAACAAAACCAAATTCATAGATTCAGACAACATATTGGTGGTTACCAGAGAAAAGGGGTTGGGGGAAGAGTGAAATGGATAAAGGGGTCAAACATATGGTGATGGGTGGAAACTAGGCTTTTGGTGGTAAGCACCCAATAGCATATAAATATACTGAATTACAAAGTTGTAAACCTGAAATTTATGTTATTATTAATCAATGTTACCTCATTAAAAAAAAGATGCCAGCTCGGCTGGTGTTGCTCAGTAGTTGAGCATCGACCTATGAACCAGGAGATCACAGTTCAATTCTAGGTCAGGCCTAGCTGGTTTGGCTCAGTGGATACAATCCCAGGTTTGATTGTGGTCAAGGGCACATGCCTGGGTTGCGGGCTCAATTCCCAGTAGCGGGCATGTAGGAGGCAGCCAATCAATGAGTCTCATCATCAATGTTTCTATCTCTCTCTCCTCCCTTCCTCTCTGAAATCAATACAAATATATTTAAAGGAGAGAGAAAATATATATATATATATATGCCAAACCCTGGTGGTTAGAGAATAGGCCTATAGACCGAAGGGTTGCAGGTTCTTTGATTCCCTGCCAGGGGCACATACCTCAGTTGCAGGTTCAATCCTTAGCCCTGGTTGGGGGTGTGAACGGGAGGCAGCCAATCGATGTTTCTTTCTCTCTCTCTCTCCCTCTCTCTCTCTCTCTCTCTCTCTCTCCTTCCCCCACTCCCTTTCACTCTCTCTAAAACTCAGTGGAAAAAATATCCCAACTCCTTGGGTGAGGATTAAAAAACAAGGAAGCCAAACCCTGAATGAAATTATGAGATAAATATTTTTCATATGAATTGAAATTCTATAATAAAAAATGGAAAAGTAATAAAAATTAAATTCAAGTATAATTTCTACTTACCAAAATGTCAAAGATAAAAAATACAATATATTAGATTGGTGCAGATATGGGAAGAGGCACTTTTAAAAAAAATTGATTTCAGAGAGGAAGGGAGAGGGAGAGAAACATCAATGATGAGAGAGAATAATTGATTGGCTGCCTCCTGCATGCCCCCCATTAGGGATCGAGCCTGCAACCTGAGCATGTGCCCTTAACTGGAATCGAACCTGGGACCCTTCAGTCTGCAGGCCGACACTCTATCCACTGAGCCAAACCAGCTAGGGCAAGAGGCACTCTTAATACTTTGTTAAAGGGAATAAATATTGGTACAGTTTACTTTAAAAAAAAACTAGCATTATCTCAGAATTTTTAAATGGTCTATGCCAGCAAATCCACTCCTAGGAATTTATCCTACACATACACTCATACTTGAGTGAAAAATGTATACATATTTAATAATATTTAATACAGTTTCATTTTTGTAGCAAAAGTTTACTCAACCTAAATATTCCTCAACAGAGTTATTAAGTTATAATAACATCACATTCAATGAAATACCTATTGAGCAAAGAATGAGGCAGATATGCATGTACTGATACTATTTTCCAAAATATATTGTTTAGTAGGAAAAAAAACAAGGTGTATAACAAGGTATATAGGATTCTATATTCTATACATATATGTTTGCATATACAAACAAAAATATCTGGAAGCATACTCAAGAATGGTAACAATCGCCGAAACCGGTTTGGCTCAGTGGATGGAGCGTCAGCCTGTGGACTGAAAGGTCCCAGGTTCGATTCCGGTCAAGGGCATGTACCTTGGTTGCGGGCACATCCCCAGTGCGGGGGAGTGTGCAGGAGGCAGCTGATCGATGTTTCTCGCTCATCGATGTTTCTAACTCTCTATCTCTCTCCTTTCCTCTCTGTAAAAAAAACAAAACTCAATAAAATATATTTAAAAAAAAAAAAAAAAAAGAATGGTAACAATCATACTTAAAAAATGGTAACAATAAATGCCTCTAGGGAAAGGGACTAGGACACTGGATATGAGGGCAACAAGAGAAATCTTTCACTACTATTCTTTTTGTAGTATTTTAAATTTATTTACATTGTATGTATATAATTTTCAAATACTTATAAAATATAATTTAAAAACAAATATTGCAAGGGGGGAGGTAAGAGATCAACCGAAGGACGTGTATGCATGCATATAAGCATAACCAATGGACGCCAGATACTCCGGGGTAGGAAGGCCGGGGGAAGGTCAATGGGGAAAAAAAGAACACATATGTACTACTCTTTATAATACCTTAAGCAGTAAAATAAAATTAAAAAAAAAAGAAATATTGCTGCTTCTCTCTAAGGATAATCCCTCCAACTATGTATCCTATAATGTCCTCCTGCCTCAGCAAGGACATCCCACTCATTCTTCCCCTCTCTGTCATGTACCTTCAACCTCTCCTCCACTAGCTCCTTCTCCTCAGTTTATAAACATATCCATGTCTCATTCTTAAAAACTTTTCATTCATTCATTTCAACAAATATTGAAATATAATAGGCTAGGCACTGTACTTGACCCCTATAATCTACTCTAGCCAACATATTCCCTCTGCCCCCGTGTTTCACTGCCAAGCTATCTAGGAAAAGCTTTCTGGTCTCACCATCCCTACCACATTACCATCCACATATTCTTTAATTCACTATAATTAGATTACTAGCCCAACTACTTTAATAAAACTGCTCTGACAAAAGGTACTAATTATGTTCTAATAGCCAAATCCAATGATATTTACCTTACTTGGAATCTCCTCCTCAAAAGCTTTTTTGTTGAATTTGGTAATACTACCCTCTAGTAGTTTGTTTGTTTACATCTCTGGATCCTCTTTCGAGGTTCTGAGACTCAGAAAAGTAAAGACTCCTGTATTTGGTGTCTTAGATGTGCATCACTTACCGGTTGACTCTGCGAGGACACTTATCTGGTTTGATATCCACCTCGTAGTGGTAGACGTCAATCTTAGGGATGTCCACCTCAAAGTAATTGGCCAGGAGCTTGATTGGTTTCCCCACTGTGCCAATGCCAGGCCTTCGAGGTGCCTGGAACACCTGCTGCAGAGGGGGCAGGTATGCGCCTGCAGCTACAAAACAAAGAGGCTGGTAAGGGTAAAGTCTAGTCATCTCCTTACACTCCTATCAGAGAAGGCACAAGGTTCCCTAGAACAGGAGCAGGAGAGTGCAAGGGGAGCTCCTTTCCTGCCTACCCAAGCCAACTGAGGGTTTCCACTGGCTCAGATATCCCAGGCTAATTTTTTTTTAAGTTATCTTCACTTAGGAAAATTACCCTTGTCTATCTTAAATTCAAGTGAATATGTAATAAGTTCCTATTGCATGTTAAGTAGAGGGGATAAATCTGGCTCCCAGTAACAAAATCCTTCCTTCTATGAGATTAATACACATGCCTCCACCAGGTATCTAACAGACCAAGAATGCCCTAGTCTCTGTAGCAAGTGCTCACTCCATTCATCACCATCCCAAACACAAAACAGCATCATCTTAATGCTCCTCTGTAAGCAGGAGGAAAATTTTTAAAAAGACCAGGTTGGGGTTGGGGCAGTGTTTGTTTGAGAAGAGATTAAGGCAACTAAATGGCTAAGGCTGGAGACAGAAAAGGAGAAAGGGCTAAAAGGATAGAGTTTGGAAACTAAGGAAAGAAGAGTGGCTGAAGTTGGGAGCTGGCCAAGAAACCAGGCTGGAGGTTAGCAGAAAAAGGCCTGAATTGGGAGTCAAGGAAGGACGAAGGTTAGAGTTGGGGGCTGGGGCAACACAGGTTAGAGTTAGGAGCTTGGGCAAGAAGCAAGGCTGCAACTGAGGAAACAATAAAAAAGTTCAAAAGAGAAAGCTAGGGAATAAAGACAGGGTTCATATAGGAGACTGAAGCTAGAGTAGAGGACTTGGGAAAGAGAAGCAGCTATTAGAATGCTGAAGAAGGGAGAGATACTGGCTCAGGGAGGGAGAATACAAGATTGTCTCCACGGGTCACAGCTCCTTCCATATAGAGAGCCCAGACAGTAGCAGGAGGGATCAATTTCAAGACAGATAGGACCCTGGGGAAAGGGCTAGGGCAAGGCCACTACTTTCCCCTCTCTAGCCTCAAGCATGATTGCTGCCTCCAGTTTTATTTTCTAGCTTGAGGGGAAAGGGAGGGAAAAACAGCCTAAGAGAAGCCTTTGTCTAGAGTTACTATTGTCCTGGCTAGTAGAGGACCAGCTCAGGTGGGAGATGAGATGAATAAGCCAGCCCAGAACCTCCCATCACCAGAGCTCTGCTTTCAGTCTACAGAACCATTCAAGGGAGGGGCATGCTTCCCAGAGTTTAAACTGCTGTCTCCTTCTAACCACCTGTCAAGTCCAGCCCCACAATACAGACTGAAAATGCAGGCCCAGCCTGGGGGCAAAAGGCCTTCAGGACTCAGCTACACGGGGAAGTGAAAGCTAACTACTAGCACCTGGCCACCTACCCCAAAAAGAGGTGAACAGAAATTACACACAAGGCATAGACAGACACACACACACGTAATGTGACACTTTCTAGTCATACACATCCACTCACTCACTTAGACCTGGACAAAATCTTTACACACATACCCCTCATTACCTTAGATTGTAAATTCTTCAAAGGCAGGGACCATCTGCCCTGTCACTGCTGAATCTCCTGTGTGAATACCTGGCACACAGGAGGTGTTCAATATACAGATATTAAATGAATGAACAAACTGATCTGCAGACACACCACAAAGAACACACACAACACACAAACACAAAAACACCTGCAAATTGCTCAGAAACAATGATAAATCCTGCACAGGACAGACGTGTACCCTGGTAGATGTAGCTGGTATAAGACACCCTTCCCCTCCCCAAGTTCTTACTTTCCATTCACCTCTTTAGTCTCCCCCAGGCAGAATAACCATTTGGAGCCCTGAAAAGACATCCCTAGAGCTGGGCTAGGTAGAACTGAAGGGGAATGGAATAAACACTCTAGCCTCAAAGCCTTCTTTTCCCCAGAAATAGGACTACAGACCAGATAGCCTTAGGCACCAGGCACCCTCTACTCCAAGGAGGCTTTTGGGAAAACAAGAAAGCCCCCAAGTTCTCCCTCACCCCCAAACTAGGGAAGGCAGAAGGAGTAAGCTCTCTCCTATCCCATCCCCCTGCAAGCCTCACAGCTGTAGAATGTCCACTCCCCCTGCCCCCCCACCTCACCCTGCCCCCAGCTTTTAGTCTGAGAAAGGGAGACACTTCCCTCCAGACCCAGACAGGGACAGACGGCCACTTTGTGATGCAGATGAGGGCCCCAGCAGAGAGGACAAAGCTTGGGCCTTGGGGGAAAGGGGCGGGGTCCTTCCTTGTAGACAAAAGCAAGGAGGGAGGGGCTGTGAAAAGGACACTCCCCCTCCCCCATCCCCAACCAGCCCTGAGAAGAAAAAGTAACAGAGCTGAAAGGCTTGGCTCAGGGATTCCTTCCCCGCAGTTCAGAGGCCCACAACCTCCCAAGAAGCAGACTGCCTATTCAAAAGACAAATTCAAGGCTAGGTTAGCTATCAGGAAGCAAATACTAAGAGGCCAATATCTCCAAAAAGAATTTGTCCACACATGAGTATACAGAGTATCTGTATTAAGTATCCAACTATGTGCTTAACAATTTATGTCACAAATGTGATTCAATTTAATTACTAAACATATACTTTGTTTCAGGGCCTAAACATTTGCTGGTTCCACAGATAAATCAGTCCAGTTTATGTGCTTGGAACACACCTGAGCACAGAAGGCACACTTGAACATAAGCCCAGTGAAGCCAACCACAATACTTCAGGTTTGAGTATTATGTCCTCCAACTTCCATGAGAGTTGACAGGGCTTAGCAAGGGGGAGTAATGAGGTACCTCCATTCACAGCTTCCAGAATGAATTTCAATTACACCCTCTAATGAGGCAAAGCCTGTCCCACTAGGCTACAGCCAACTCCAAATACCAAGCTCTAGTCCCTTTCCTAAAAGCCTATTTCTTGTATCAAACAAGTTTTTTCATTACTCTAGCACCCATTAGGAATTCATCAGAATAAAACCATTATGGGTGTCAGCTCCTGGCAATCTATCTGAACCTCTGTGACCTCCTCTTGCTCTAGTCCACAGGTTGTTGCAAACAGTCTCCAGCCTAGAAAACCAAGAGAGTTCCTGGTATGGAGAGATGGACTTGAGAGAAGGAGGAAGTAATTTTCTGAAGCTCCCTGCACTTCACCTTACAACCTTTACAGACTTTATAAGGTTATTTTCTTCTTGGGGGAAAGTACTTACAGATAACTGAATGAATGACTTGAATGAGTTGGTAAAAGCTATTCCCTTGAGATTAGATCTGGTATAAAAGAAAAAAATTCTTCCACCAGATATAAAATTCATGTCCCAAATGAAAATCATATTACCATTCCAGATCAAATAGAAGAAGGAGGTGACATATTACCTAAAGGATTTCCAGGTCTAGACTGCTCCTTCCACCAAAGTGCCACCAACCCACAACCTGACCTGGGGACTCCAGTCTTCTTGGAAAAACCCAGCTTCAGTTTCTCCTCTGTTCTTATCTCCTTTATTCCTGATTGTTCATGAACAAGGAGAAATTAAGGCTATCACCTGGGACTCACCAGCGTCCATCCCCAAACAACTTATTTGTGACAAAAGGCTAGCTTGGCAACCTCGGCCTACAGTATTGGACCAGAAACGTGCAAACCAGGCAGACAACCTCTTCCAGGTAAACCTGGCCCTGCCCTTCATCCTTCAGTAACAAACACCTTTCCTAAGACCTATCTTTAGTGAAAACCCGCCACTGAATTGGTCCAAGTCTTTCCTCATCCAAGTGGCAAAATAAGGCAAGGCACTTTAGCAGTTTCCCTCAACCCATTCTTGGCAAATTGTGACTGAGTGTTTTCCGGGCCAAGTGTAAGAACTCCCAAGATGGGGAAGGGGACCATTTCTATTTGCGCCCAGCCAGCATAACCTTAGAGAGAATGCACCCCATCAGCACGCTCCTTTTCCCAAGCCAAACCGCGCAGGATAGAGAGTAGGGGTAATTTGGGCAGCCACGCCCCCACTACCTAGGGCAGCCCCTTCTAGCGGCCACCTCTGCGCATGCTCGAGTGCCTCTGCTCAGGCTCCCAGGACTCGCGGGGGATGAGGGGGAATCGTGAGGCTGGATCCCCACCCACCACCCCCTGACCCTCGCCCCCGCGTCAGGCCCGGCTGGGCGGAGCTCACAGTCCAGGTCTGGCGCCTTCTCCCAAGGGACACTAGCCCAGCCCAGACTGGCTGAACCCTCGCCCCGGCACGCTACAGCTAGGGCCCATCTGTATGGACCTCCTCCTCTCCAGGACACCTGGAGTCCGCCTCCTGCCACCTGCCGGGACTCTCCTTAGGCCTCCAGGCATCTCCGGGAGTCCTTACGTGTGTTCAGGCCCTTCTCCCAATTACTTCTCACCTCCAGGAGTGGATAGAGCCTCCTTTGATAAACGGCCCCCATCTCAGAGCTCCCTTCACAAGGTTTCTCCCGGAACTACACACAGCTCCCTTCAAACTGGGCCCCCATTTCATAAGAGCCCCTCTCCTCACTCAGGAAACCTTTCCTCACTCGGAAATCCAGCTCCTCAGGCGGGAGTCCCCTGGTCCTTTGGAGCACACACCGTTCCCCCCTCCCGTGGGCCCTTACCTGCTCCCGAGGGTCCCGCTTCCATCCCATATACCCGTGCGGAGGTCAGGCGGCCAGGAGACTGTGGAGTCCAGTGTGAGGGGCCTAGGTACCCCGCACTCTAGCTGCTAGGATTCCCGGGCCGGGCTCGGCTCCTCCCCGAAGCCCGGCCGCTCGCACCGCTACCCCCGCAGCCTCCGTTGCCGCCGCCGCCGCGGAGCCTGCAGCAGCTCCCCCAGTGAGCGCCCGGCCAGTTGCCAGTGCGCAGGCGCGACCCCCAGCCCCAGGGGGCGGA